GCAGGGGTTATACCAGAAGAGTTAAACAGCCCATTAAAGTGGCCTACAAAAAGTCTGTCTTAGTATACTCTTGAATGTTAGTTTTTTTAAGCATTTATCCCTCTTGTCTTCTTCAGTTACCGAATTCCTGTATTTTCCAGATCGCGGCCACTTTAGAGAACAGGCCTAAACTTGTTGGATTGAGCTTCTGGCTCCATGTGTAGGTGGCGAGTGCAACTGTGATAAAGATAGTAAGAGCAAGAGAGCGAGTTCCTCCTCTCGAGAACAAGAGAGAGTGCACAGCATGTCTAGTGGCTGCTTGTTGTTCTGTTTCTGTCACTGGAGATCTGCTGTTTGTGTCTCTCTCACAACACATTTCTGCCCAAATGTTTTTTGAAAGCTGCTGAAAATGTTGGCAGCGGAAAGAAAGACAGCATCTCTTCTCTGTGAATCTGACAGACTGAAGCCATTTCCTGTTTGAAACTGGCCCCTTTGTTTCTCACATTCCTCCACAAGCTTTATTTCTGTTGTTACATAATGATGCTTTTATCACTTCTTTTTTTTTTTAAGAGGAACTTGCACAAATATATGACTCGCTATCTTGCTAGATTTTTCACAATTCTTATGTTTGCTGTAAACCTCAAATACAGAACATGATCAAATACAGAGCATGATCAAATACAGAACATGATCAAATAGCACCATAAGTTTCAATTGTGTGCAGGGGAAATCATTAAATACAGTTTTGTTCTGCCAATTTAACAGCCAAATATGGGGCGAAGCCTGCGAGCTAGTTCAGGCAGTCAACTCGAGCACTTATGCTGCATTCATACATAACGCCACTCTACAACCAACCAAACAGAGTCTCCTTAATATGCCGCTCTATTTAACCTGCCAGATATCTCTCTATGCATTGCTTGCTGCTGCTATCGCTGCAGCTACTTCCACGTCGCTGCTGCTCGCCTGCCCCACCACCCCAGCTTCCAGCCCAGCTTCCACCTGTAGGCTCTGGGGGATAGTTATCTAATCATCACTCATCGTGCTATGTATATCTGTGGAGTGATGAGGCCCGAGCCTAGACGCCAAACTCAACTACATGCTGCTTCTAATAAACATGTTAAAGAAACACGTGAGTTGTCCGACTGAAATTACATTAAACTACAAAACAGCTGAAATATCAGCAAGAGTTTAAATGGGGCGACTTTATCTACCAATCAGAGAGTCAGTGATTGGATTCCCAACCCCTGCAGTCACATGTCAAAGTGTCTTTGGATAAGACACCCTCAATGGCTCCCCTAGGCATGCATTTTAGTTGTTAAAAGCGTCAACTAAATAACATGAAATGTAATTTAAATGTAGACTTTTCTATCTATTTTCTACAAGAGGACATTTTGTGTTAATGTTCAGGTTCATATCAGTATGTAGTGTCTCTACTTTAAAGAGTCCTCTCCTGCTGATGTTCAGGTGTATATCAGTATGTAGTGTCTCTACTTTAAAGAGTCCTCTCCTGCTGATGTTCAGGTGTATATCAGTATGTAGTGTCTCTACTTTAAAGAGTCCTCTCCTGCTGATGTTCAGGTGTATATCAGTATGTAGTGTCTCTACTTTAAAGAGTCCTCTCCTGCTGATGTTCAGGTGTATATCAGTATGTAGTGTCTCTACTTTAAAGAGTCCTCTCCTGCTGATGTTCAGGTGTATATCAGTATGTAGTGTCTCTACTTTAAAGAGTCCTCTCCTGCTGATGTTCAGCGTATATATCAGTATGTTGTGTCTCTACTTTAAAGAGTCCTCTCCTGCTGATGTTCAGGTGTATATCAGTATGTAGTGTCTCTAATTTAAAGAGTCCTCTCCTGCTGATGTTCAGGTGTATATCAGTGTGTAGTGTCTCTACTTTAAAGAGTCCTCTCCTGCTGATGTTCAGGTGTATATCAGTATGTAGTGTCTCCACTTTAAAGAGTCCTCTCCTGCTGATGTTCAGGTGTATATCAGTATGTAGTGTCTCTACTTTAAAGAGTCCTCTCCTGCTGATGTTCAGGTGTATATCAGTATGTAGTGTGTCTACTTTAAAGAGTCCTCTCCTGCTGATGTTCAGGTGTATATCAGTATGTAGTGTCTCTACTTTAAAGAGTCCTCTCCTGCTGATGTTCAGGTGTATATCAGTATGTAGTGTGTCTACTTTAAAGAGTCCTCTCCTGCTGATGTTCAGGTTCATATCAGTATGTAGTGTCTCTACTATGACATGTCTCCATGCGTTAATGTTCAAAAAGCTCTTTATTTTTCTCATACTGCCTGTGCTGCAGCACCTCTTTTCACCCTCTGTCTGAAACCAGAGCCCAGTCTGCTCAAGTGTTACCCAGTGATGTCACTATGACACGGAAGGAAACAAAGGCGTCCAATGGAGGCGTTCCAGGCGGGTTTAACACAGGGATTTTAGCCTTTGCAGACCATTAACATGCAGAAAAACCCATATAACACACTATAGGCAAGGGAAAACCCAAAAAGCCCAATAGAGTAGTGCAGTGATGACGTATTTTTGTAGGCCGACCCGGAAGTAAGCTGCATGGGTTCCCTAGACAAAAAAGCTACGGGATTTCTCCATTGGATTATGGAATATTGTAAAAAATAAGGTCTGTGGAAAACGAACCTGTTAGATAAATGCACGTTTTGTTCAGCCGGATAATCTCCACATGTCTTCCCTACTTTTATAATTTTCTAATGATAAATCTAATCGCCAGAAGCAAAATGCTAACGTTATGCTATAAACGAACTACAGCCGAGTACAGCAGCACGACTTCAACGTCACGCCAACTTAAGATCGATATTCAAAAATACAGATTCTAAATGGTACAAGTTGAAGCGTTTGTTTGACAGGTACTTGCTTTCAAGCAGAACAGGGGCAAACAAACTTAGCGAGTGTTTACGTGTTCGGCGTAATGACGTACAACGTCCTCGACAACTTCTATAGTCCTATTCAGCCACTTGGTAACAACCATCGTTTTTCAGACACGTAAACTCTTCAAAAATCACCAGTGGGGTCACTGCTGATGGGTTTAATATCGTAGAACAAAACGTGATCCGTCTCTTAAATTTGTGTCAACCACAGACCTTATTTCCAGCTATTTTCCAGAAACATGTTAAAAAAAACGTTGACTCTGAGTCGAGGGAACCGGAAGTGGTAAAATGCTAACTCACTTCTGGGTTTTAGGACTCGTTCCTGCACCACTCTATAGGGCCCCTTTAACTCTTGAGTATGAGAGATGTTTCTTCTCTGAACGTCCACATGCATGATGCAACACATCATTGATCCTGTATGCTGCTCTAACATAAATAGATATGCATCCTCACTGAGCTGCATGTAGGTCGAGCGTTAAACACCGTGATGTGACCGGGCTCAGTCCCCTCATCAAGCGCTCCTATAATCAAGCGCTCCACTGGAGAGGCTGCGAGGACCCCGTGGGACTGCCCGTCATAAACGTCTGCCTGAAAACACTCCTCTGCAGCTCAGGGAGAGGTTAAGGGTCAGAGACGCAGATCTGAACGCTGCCGGGGTTTCTCCCTGAGATAGATGTGATGTGGATGTATACACAGTGGTGGAAAGTATAAGTACATTTACTCAAGTACTGTACTCTACAATTGTGAGTATTTTCCCTTCATGCTACGTTATACTTTTTACACCACCACATTTATTGTAAAGCATTGGTTACCAGCTACTTTGCAGATTTAGATTATTAATACAAAATATAAATCAACTAATGAATTGTGATGTATTATTATTGACTAATGCACCTGGCATTATAGAAATACATTAAAGTTAGCTTCACCTTTTACAAGCTGCAACATTCAAGTGATGAACACATTAATGCATCACTATTTTAAACCAAGGAGATAATAAATACTTTATTCTCAAAATTGAGCACTTGAATACTTTAAGTATATTTTGAGGCTTGTCTTTTGGACTTTTACTTAAGTCAGATTTTGTATGAAGGACTTTCACTTGTGACAGAGTTGCCTGAAACGCCTCCATTGGTCTCCTTTGTTTACTTCTAGAACCTAGTGACATCACTATGTAACACTCACGCTTCTATTAGCTAGCGCTCTAACACATTGTACGTGATAGGCTAAGGGGCGGGACATCTCTTAAGCAGTTGACTAATCACAACAGAGCCAGCCAGCTAACCAATCAGAGCAGACTGGGCTAATAACCCATGCACACACACTGAAACTTTAAAACTCCTGTATAATTGTACAAAATAACGTTTGTGTTTATATCTTATTCTGTTTTTAGCTTGTTTTTATTTCACTGCTTTTGGCACGTATTGCCGGTTTTTAAATTGTGTTTAAAAGCGGATTTAAAATGAGTTTCATTTTCACTTTGTTTAGTGTGAAGCATTTCAAATTGACTTATCGTTCAAATCTACTTTGGTTACCAGTGTGAAAACATAACAATAGCAATATTGGATCCTTTAATATTCCCTATTCAGTCAATTAGTTTAGTCAGTTGAATGAACTTCATATTGCCGCTCGATTTGTTTATAGTGTTTCCCAAAGTTGATGTTTTGCAGAAAACACACTTTTGTTGTGAAACGTGCTAAAAGCTGAGATGCTAAATGACTAAACAGACGCTTCCAAGGTCTCGATGTTCGTTTAGGTTCCCCTCACAACACCATTCAACTGAAACAAATCTAATGCTGGGCAGGAAAAGACATTTACAATCCCATGTTGTAGCTGACCTTGACCGTAACGCACTGTTTCCATGGTAACAAATGAGATGAATACGTAATAAAATGAGCTAAAAATGTTTTCCCCACGCTGCAAGCTGAAATCGATCTCCTGTAATCGCTTACATGCAAACCAAACGGTTGGAAGAGATTTTTTTAAATGTGTGTGTGTGTGTGTGTGTGTGTGTGTGTGTGTGTGTGTGTGTGTGTGGTGTGTGTGTGTGTGTGTGTGTGTGTGTGTGTGTGTGTGTGTGTGTGTGTGTGTGTGTGTGTGTGTGTGTGTGTGTGTGTGTGTGACTGTACCTGAAATGGACTCTGGCTGTTGTAGTTCTTCACGTCTTTGTCGGCTCCACGAACCAGCAGCACTCTGGCACAGTTATCCTGAGGAGACAAGAGGACAAAAATGAGTAAAACAAAGCTGGGAAAATGTTTAAAAACATCACAGAAATCCTTTCATTTCCCTACTTTTTGGAGGAAAACTACAGATTAGCTTCCAGTGACTTTAGCAGAAACCTCCAGAAGTAGTGGCTGAACATCCAAACACTGCCACAGGAAGAGAAATAAAAAAAACTACCTACATGAGGAATGGTAGCGCTGCTAAGTGAGAATATATCTGCACTCAAACAGGAAGAGGAGTGAGATGGAGAAACGTAGAGAAGAACAGAGAGCTGGAGAGCGCTGAGGGCTTTGAATCTGCTGCACAAATCGCCCACAAAGTGCTCAACCACGCATGCACCGTGCACACACACATGGACATAAATACTTTTTTTAGATCCACAATAAGCTATTGAGAGTTGCTCACACAGAAACACAAGCATAATCTGTGCAGTGTTGACAAATGCCAGCGTTTAGACATTAAAACGTTATTTAAAGGATGCATGAGTGTGATGTTTTTACTGGAGAGGAGCCATCACACAACATTTATTTACAATATAACATATTTAATGACGCTTCTAAATGCAAATGTGTGAATTAAAGCAATCACATGCTACTACTTCCTGTATAAGAGTGTTATTTAAGACTCTTAGTTCAAACAAAATGCACATAGTGATTGATTGATTGTATTTTCGCATTATTTATTGCTTTAAATTGCTCCAACATGTTCTTTTTTTCAGGTCTGCACAACTAAACGTGGAGAAGCAGCATTCAGGTTGTATGCTCCATAAATAAATAAAAAACCTACACACATTCTGATAAACAACAATAATCTGTGCAGTGTTGACAAATGTCAGCGAACAGACATAAAAATGTTATTTAAAACATGCATGAGTGTTATTTTTACTCATGTGGAGTGGAGCCATGACATATACTGTATTTTTTGTCCATACATTTATAATACGCTTCAAATTGAAATGCGTACATACATCATTAATTAAAGAATTTACATGTTAGTACTATATTGCATTATTTAGGAATTGAAGTGTCTTAAACGTAATGTCTCCAATTGTTTATTATGTAACATTTATTATAGCTTTAACTCAGGTCTAAAACAACAAACGTGGAGAAGCAGAGTTCAGTTTTTATGCTTCGTAAATCTAAATAAACCCACAAACATTCTGATAAACAACCATAATCTGTCCAGTGTTGACAAATGTCAGCAATTAGACATTTAAAGATCTCTTATCATGCTATTTTAAGGCATATATTATGGGTCTTAGATATATACAAATATATAAAAACATGTCTATGATGTGTTTTGCTCAAAATACAAACAGATCATGCATTTTAGACATCCCTCATATCCCTCTATTTCAGCCCTGTTAGAGAAACGCGGATTTTGGGTCCTTAGCTTGAAAAAAAAAAAAAAGAGGAGGCGGAGCTAATGCCTGATCAGAATTCTACCGGAGATAAAGTTAAATTCTGCTGTGATAAAAGGCCATCCTGTTCTAAACCACATCAAGGATTATTTCTGAAACAGTATGGAGCTCAAATGCTTTTTCTCTTGCGGGTTTATCACAAGGTGAGTTCCTTTTTTTATTTCCTGCTATTTAAACACATGTGCTCTCCAGTACAGGTTAGCTCTGAGTGTTAGCGAGGCTAGCTAATGTAAACAAAGACGAGATTACGTCCAAAACACGTCAGGCATTGTTTCTGATAGCAACTTTCTGCGGGTCCGCTGCCGATTTGACGTCATATCGGCAGCAAATCTGTATCCGCTCGTTGTACCCCCGTTTTTAAAAGATTTGGGTACGGAGGAAAAGAGAAAGGGTTTTATTTTCTGACGCTGCGTGAGTTCCCTGACACACCGGGGACACATATTTATGTATAAAAGACATCACAAAGTGCATTTTGCATGATAGGTCTCCTTTAAATCTTATTTTTAAAACATGAATAGTTATTTTTTCTCCATACATTTACAATGACGCCTGCAAATGGAAACGTGTCAGACTTATGAATGAGGTATTTTAGCTTTCAGGAGACATTAGGGTGGAAATGTAAAGACTGTAGAGACAGAGGGATGCAATGATGAAATCTCCGCATTAAATAGATTTTTCTTGTGTGTTTCATGTGGTTTTAGTGACTGTAGATCACTGATGCAGGAGATGACAGAGGAAGAAGGATTCTCACATATTTTAGTGCAGAAGTTTTTTTAGTTTATGTTTTTGTAAAAGCGCTGGAATCTCCTCAGGGTTCTGTGAGGAGGGAGAAAACATGAATATTTATGATGTACAGTATGCCGGCCTAATAACAGAATAATCCAGTTACATCAACCCCCTCTGATTCATCATCATCATCATCATCACACTCTTCAGCTGCAGCTCTCAGAGCGTCACGGCAACACAGAGGATATTTCAGACGGTTTATTATCATTAATAAGTATTGAGGAAAGACCGACACGTTTACTCTTTTCACAGAATTACAGTGTTGGCTTTTTGATAATGAACAAATCCCATAAAAATACCCCAAAATATTTTTATTATTATTATTATTATTGATCTTTTGATTTAATATTGTAAGACTGAGGAAGTGCTATATATTTTTTTAAATGTACAAATCCCATGAAAAGACCATAACTTAAAGGTGGGGTAGGTAAGTTTGAGAAACCGGCTCAAGATACACTTTTTGTTATATTCCATGGAATGCTCTTAACATCCCGATAGCAATGAATATCTTAAGTGTCTTAAATGTCATCTGTGGAAGCCGTAATACTGTAAAAAGCACGACCAATCATTTTAGCCGGCCCGGCTAAAATAACTCGATACCTGCCTGTCAGCCTTCCATCTGTGCACAAACTTATCTCGTGCCCTCATTGGTCATGTGCGCGTTCGTGTGTGTTGGAGGAGGGGCTCTGTAAGGAAGTGGCAGATTTCTTCTGGCTGTGTATTTTCAAATTCTAGCGCACTCCAGCTGGTTTCTCCAAAATGACCTACCCCACCTTTAATTGGATTATTATTAGGATGATTATTATAATAACTATTATTAAATACATGTATTTATTTAATTTTATTTATTTAATTTTATTTATTTCATTTATTTTATTTCATTCATTTTTGTTACCATATTATTTTTAAAACTGAAATAATAATAAAAGGAAAACACCAAAACCAAAAATGAACATATTTTTTAATAACTATTGTGTTTTTATTAAAGCCTCATTCATATATTCTTTCTCTTTGCTGTTAAGCTCAATTGTTAGAATAAATATATATGTATGAGCTGCTTAAAGACGTGTGTCATACATACAAAGCAAAGGGCAGAGAGTATTCAGAGACGGACAAACACATTGATCATTTTACTGATTTTCCCATCGAGATAAGGAAACCTCACAATATCAGCAGCCTCACATATCGTTTAAGAATACATGACTATATACAAATGGACCTTTCCCATCTCCATGCATGGACACACAAACATCTCCTTTATCCCAGCACCACAACACAAACAGACGCTGGTGTGAAGGCCGTTTCCGAGGTCAGGTGGATCTTTAGCTTCACAGCGAGAATGATCGTCGCTAAGTGGAACGAACCGCACAGTCAATGCAGCTGTGGGCTGGTTCTGAGCTGTGATTTTCTGCATAACTGGACACGCTCCAAAGGCTATGTGATAAATGCTTTCTGTAAAACACACAGTTTAGAGGCTGCTGATCCTTAGATGCACTCACAGGTTTAAAGTCAAATGCTCTTTGAGATGGTTCAACTGGATCTCAGAGGTTTCTTTTAAAATAACAGCTGGTCATTTAGAGATTTTATTTCTTGTTTGGCGCTCTAGTGAGCATCGGAAGTTATGGAAAACATCCTCCTCCCACTACAACCATCCTCTATCTGCTCCCTCCTCTTGCCATATTGAAGGGGCGGAGCTTAGTAAAGGCAGCTATCTCACCTGTGGCAAATCTGTGAAGGCTCGCCAGTGGCAATTAAATGCTCACTTCTGGAAAATCTATAAAGGCTCCCCTATTAAAACAATATAAGGGCTCACCTGTGCCAAATGTATAAATGCTCACCTGTGGCAAAAATAAAAATGCTCACCTGTGTCAAATGTATAAGGCTCTCCTGTGGTATAACATAACCACAGGTGTACCTTACCTGTGGCAAGTATGACAAAAAAAAGAATTGATCCCATGCACTTTAACTTCCTTTTTGATATGTATACATTGACCACATCATGATAAGATTATAATTTCCCTTCACCCAATACACCATTTTACTGAATAGAGCCTGAAGGCACCATAGAGCAACCGAACTGCGTCCGCTGGATGCTAACAGCTAGCATAGACTAGCTCTCCTTTGGCCAATTTCAACAAAGATTTGAGGTTTTTCAGGCTCTAGTTAGTGGTTTACCAGGTTCTAAACCCTCTGTCTGTTTGGCTAGTTCTGCTTCCAGTAAAACGCTCCAAATAATGAACACTGAAGGATTTCTAATCAGGAGAAGCTGACTGCAATGATGGCAATAATGGTGAAGACGACCTCTCCTATGATCCCATGCTATTTAATGACAACTAACTCTTTCTTTTGTTATTGTTCTTTGGCAGAAAATGACATATTGTATTATAAAAGAAGGATTTTAAGTCACGTTGGACCAGAATGCAGCTAAATGGTGTTAGCTAATATTGCTTGTATTAAGGAATGAATGCCAACAAAATAATTGCATAACACGGAACAATTTGAACCATGTTTGAAATGCTCTTACCCAACGCTCTATGAGGGAAAAGTCACATGTTAAAGTATTTACTGCGATAAGAGGTAGACAGTGACTCCGTTGTATCGTGGGGATTCTCCAAGCTCAGCATCAGAGCATCAAACACATGAGTTTAATAAATAACATGAAAGAAGAGCTGCAAATGATTCATCCCCTGAGAAAGAGGAACAAAGAGCCTGCAGGCTGTGTGCTCTGCAAACAGCAGCAGAAACACAGCAGATATATGTCAGCATGCAGAGCGGGCATTTAGTTATAATCTTTAATGGCCTTAAAAAAAACTATGACAAGATACTGAGTTTGGTGACGTTGACAAGTAGCGAGGGATCATGGGAGTTGATGTCTTCACCCCAACTGTCGTCATTTCAGCTCTACTTCTTCTCCTTCTCCTGATTAGATATCTTTCAGTATTCATTGTTCAGAAGGTCCTTTTTTTACATTTGTAGGTAGCATAGTTAAAAAACACTGATACAAATCTGTGTTTCAGCCACGATGTTTGACAGAAAAAAGGCTCCAATGTTTGCTCGTCTTGTTTATCTGATAATTGAAGATCCAGATGGTTAGGAGATTTTTACTGAGAGCCTACTTATCAACAAACAAAACTGGTGTATGAAGTCGCTTCACTTTCAACATCAGTGTTTCTCAGAAGTACCATTCTAGAAAATAGACGTCCTAGAAAGAAACGTGTGTCCGATTGTTATTGGATAACTAACAATCCAGATGTTGAGGAGGTTTCAATTGTGAGCCAATTATCGACGGGTACTCTCCTCTAACAACCCTGTGATTAAAACCAGTGAAAAACTGAATAAATCAGTTTAATGTTGACGGTTTGTTTCGACAAAGACAAAGCTTTACTACCAGCTGTGAGAAGAACTGCTGCTAATGTTTGCTCATCTTATTTCTCTGATAGTTTAAGATCCAGATGTTCAGGAGGTTTTTAACAAGAGCAGAATTATTGTCAGAGGGTTTCATCCACAAAAAAACAAATGGACCACCCGTTAATAACACCAGTAAAAGTACCAAATAATGAAGTGTGCCCGTTCTAAATCAGTGTTTCTCAGAAGAAGCTGAAAATGGATGTCTTAGAGGGAATAGAGCAGAGTTATTTCTTTATTGAGATACAATCCAGATGATTACGACGTTTTCATCGAGAGCAGAATTATCGACAGAAGTCTCATTCTCTCAAAAACTGGTGATTTAAAAGCAGTACAAAAGCTAAATTCAGAAGTTTCCCTTTAGGATTCAGTTTCTTTGAGGCTCTTTGGCAGCAGCTTATGTTTGCTCATCTTGATCCTCTGATAGCTGAAGACCCAGATGTGTAGGAACTCAAATCCTTTATCTAGTTAAAATTGCGTAAGAAGCACCAGGATCTGAACATGCATCAAAACAAGAGCGACAGTCAGGATGGCTTTTACATCCCTTTTACTGTCCTAAATCATCACATTTGGAAAAAGGTAAATGTGAATCTTAGCTAGCACATAAGTAAGGGATAATGTGCAACGACGCGGTCATTATGGGTAAAAGAACACCGACAGGCAGATCAGGAGCCCGACGCGAAGCGGAGGGATCTAGATCGGCATGCAGTTTGCTTTTCAGCCAAACTGTATACAGTTCAATCGACCGGACTTCTTTCTGCAGATTTGAGCGTCCTTAACAACGGTCATAAATCCTTGACAGCGGTCTGTCTGTTCTGGATTAACAACGTGTCACGTGTTCTGAATTGACCAATCAGAATCGAGTATTCAACTGAACCATGTAATAAACAAGAATAAAGTATTTCCATTTCACCCACGCCAGGGTATTTCCCTTAATGAAAGTTGTCCACTTTTATAAGTGCGTGGTTTATTTACAGTGAGTTCATAATGTGCATGTTTTATTTTTGTTCCACATTTCTCCCGCTTTCACATCTTAAAATAGTACCAGGGCAATCCATCCATGCACGCACGCACGCACGCACGCACACACACACACACACACACACACCTGCTCACCTGGTTGTATAGGGCACATATGTGTAGGGCCGAGTTTCCTGATGCATTCTGGGCGCTCATGTCTGCTCCGTAGAACAGCAGGTGTTCCAGATGCTGAACATGGCCATGACGGCAAGCCTGCACACACACACATACAGTATTTCATTTACTTTAATAAAATGAACAAGCTTTATTGAAGTTTGCAGAGGTCCAGAGGTATGGTCTGAGATTGAAAACTATTTACAAATGTATTTATCTGTCTTTAAAAAGAAGGAAAGACAGCAGTTGTTAATAAAAAGAATGTCCAAGCCTGAAAACACTAAATGGTGTGGGACTTTAAAACAAGTTATTCTGAAATGCATTTGATTGAAACCAGTATTTGGCCTTTGTCGTGTATACAGTATGTGTTTATTATATCTAACATATTTTGAAACCAATGTTAAAACTGATCAAATAAATGTGTTGGGACCATTTAGCAGTTAGGGTTGGATTAAATTAAGGGTGTTTTTACCTTGTATATGTTCCTGAATAACGCATGAACTCTCTCTAAATAGCTTATCAGGGTATACCTTTTCACATATCTCCATTATGTCATATCACTGTACTTGTATTTATAACTGTTTGTGTTTAATACTAATTGAAAAATGTCTCTGTAAATTAAAGGCTTTGACACTTCCCCTTGATGGTATGTGCAGTACCAGTGACTGAACACTAGATGTCAGTGTGCTGCAGAGAGCTTGGTTACCCTCAGTTTGAACCCTGAAGATGTGAGGAAGACGAGTGTGTGCAGAGCTTTAAGAAATACACAATTGAATTAATCAGAGTTTAAAGGCTGTCAGAAACAGAGGGAGTTATTTCTTTTATGAACCCATTCCCCTCCCTGAATGGCATTAACGTTTGAGGTTATGGTGACAGGTGCAATTAGGGGTTTATCGTGAGGGGAGGGATTAAAGTGAAATGGCCAATTTACACTGAGGCTTATTTCAGAGAGGTTTGTGAGGAAAACCCAAATGGTTGCTTATCAACTAAAGCAGGTTACAGTAAAGCATTCTCTCAGAGTAATGGAGTTTTGTGACATAATTAAGCTTGTGCTCAGTCAGGCAGAACATTAGGGGGAATGTTTGGTGATGTTTTCTTTGTAAGGACCATCGAGGTCTGATTCATTCAGTTGTGTCAACAGAATGCAAATATGTGTGGAGATTTCTGTAACTGTCTTTCAAAATGTGGACATATCTCCAAATCTGTATCTCGATTTGTAAATGTGAAAGTAAATGGGAATGAGAAGACACATCTGTTAAAGGGAAGATACATGTGGAATATACAAACACACGTGTAAATAAAAAGACACATGTATTATTGTGAATAAATGTGTAAATGTGAAGGCAAATTTGAATATTTGAAGATATATATTTCAACTTAGAGACAAATGTGAATACGAATGTTTTAAAATGTAGATATTGGCGTAAATGTGTCAAGTCAAATGTGAAATATACAGACACGTGTAAATAAACATTCCTACATTTGTTTCAAGGTGATTGCAGGTTTTACTTCTTTGTAAAAAGGATGTGAATAAAAAGTGATGTTCTTGCCCTCTGAACAAACTGAGCTGCCTGACAGATGATTGTTATCACGTCTGAAATGGGACACACCGAGGGAGACAGGGATTTCACAACTGGACAGGGAGAGAGATGTGTGATGAAGCTGATCAGCCTGAACACATCTCTCACACAAACACACACACTCATGACAGAGTGTGTAGACACTAATGTGTGACTGCTGCAGGGTGGCTTTTCCTTAAATGACTTAATACACTTTAACGGTAACAGCTGCCAAGACAGACGGCCACAGTGTGTGTCAGTGTGTGTGTGTGTGTGTGTGCTTGTGGTTGTGTCTCTACGTGTGCTTTGGTAATATGTACCAGCTGTTCCCAATAAAAAAAGAGCAAAAAAACCTTCTGTGCCCCTCTGTTTGCACCTGCTGAACTGGAGGTGTGTGTGAGTGTGTGTGTGTGTGTGTGTGTGTGTGTGTGTGTGTGTGTGTGTGTGTGTGTGTGTGTGTGTGTGTACCTGGTGAACCTCGTGCCAGCCGTTCTCGTCCTGGCAGCAGACGGAGGCGTGGTGGTTGAGCAGCAGCTCGCAGCAGCCGGGGTCCCCCCCCCCCACCACACTGTGGTACAGAGGGGTCAGACCACGACTGTCCTTGTAGTCCGGAGAAGCCCCTAACTCCAGCAGCGTCTGAGAGTGTGTGTGTGTGTGTGTGTGTGTGTGTGTGTGTGTGTGTGTGTGTGTGTGTGTGTGTGTGTGTGTGTGTGTGTGTGAGAGAGAGAGAGGGGATGGAAAGACACAGAAAGAGGAAATATGAATTATTTAGCAAGAAGAGAATTGAGTCATCTGGTCTCCAAAGTGGAGGTTTTAAAGTAACTAAGAAATACTGTCTTAAATGGAATATGTTGGTGATGCCTACAGTACGTCTATAGCGCATAATACACATACTTATAATGCATTATAATCAGCTTATAGCAATGGTATAAGCACTGAAATATATTCATAATGCTATAATAAAGCATCATAATAAGTGTCATTGTACTTGTATTTCACTGACTTTAGAATAATGACATTTCTTTTAATTTACTTATAAGAATGACCAAGTAAAATAACCTATAATAAGATTATTATTTATTTATTTACATTAAATTATATTACAACTATAGTAATTATACACTTAGATCCTTGCAAAAAACAACAACAACCTTGTACGTGTCCTTATCAGTCCTAAAAATAATTTATATTGTGGGATGTTTATTAACATTACATTTTGAATATGTACAAGTGCTTATAACTTTAATTAAGGGTCATAAAAAGTGTTTTTAATGAGATTTTTCATCATAATTACGTTTATGTTTCCAAGCAAATGTCACGTAGGACTTTAATCTGACAAAGTCCAACTCACAAAACTTTAGAAAAATAATTGAAGATGAAACAAAAAATAAAAGGTAATTATGAACTTGTTGTTTCACAGAGTGCGCTGTGAGAAAGATTTAAAAGATAAAAGTGATTTTGCTTCTTCTTAACTCCTCAGAAAGTACTGACAGCTTCTTAACTTCACATCTCGCCCTGTTGTTAGCTGACAGTTTGAACGCATCAAAATGCTGCTCATATTGCAAAAAGATACTACAAAGCATGATGATGGAAACTGTCTTGCTTTGCAGAAGTTCCTGCACATGTAAGCAGGTGTAAGAAGTTTAAAACTGAGGATGAAAGACGTTGTATTTTATTTTTACCGTGAGTGTGACGTGGTTCTTGGAGCGAGCGGCTTTGTGCAGAGACGTCATGCCGTCTTTAGCTCTGAAGTCCAGGTGAGAGCCTCCATTCTTCAAAACCTTGATCATCTCCACCATGTTGTCCAGGTGAGCGGCAAATGTCAGCGGACTCTCTAGAAAAATAAATCAAAGAGAGAACATTTTTTATTATTTTATCGGTAGAAAAACAAGTCCATATGTGTTAATGTTTTATATCAAGCTGTTTTAAAAGGCTTATTTTGTGAGTCCTGAGAAATGAGTCACCATTTCACCACTAGAAATGGATTCAGCATCATCAACAACCCCCAAAACCACTCCAATATGTTCCAATTCGGCAACTTGTGCTAAATATGCAAATTGCAAATTAGCATCCACCAGATTCTAATTGTTAGGGACCCCTACATTACATTTCTAACATAAAACTTTGGGGTACTCAACATTTCCAGGTTCACATTGCTTGCAAGTTGCTAACTATCTAAATTAGACGACTAAACATCATCATGCTCAACATTAGCCGCCTTTAGCTTAGCGGTGGTGACGTGAAGTCATGTGACCGTGCTGTAGTTCCTTTATAGCCCAACATTAGCCGCCTTTAGCTTAGCGGTGGTGACGTGAAGTCATGTGACCGTGCTGTAGTTCCTTTATAGCCCATCATTAGCCGCCTTTAGCTTAGCGGTGGTGACGTGAAGTCATGTGACCATGCTGTAGTTCCTTTATAGCCCAACATTAGCCGCCTTTAGCTTAGCGGTGGTGACGTGAAGTCATGTGACCGTGCTGTAGTTCCTTTATAGCCCATCATTAGCCGCCTTTAGCTTAGCGGTGGTGACGTGAAGTCATGTGACCGTGCTGTAGTTCCTTTATAGCCCATCATTAGCCGCCTTTAGCTTAGCGGTGGTGATGTGAAGTCATGTGACTGTGCTGTAGTTCCTTTATAGCCAAACATTAGCCACCTTTAGCTTAGCGGTGGTGACGTGAAGTCATGTGACCGTGCTGTAGTTCCTTTAAAGTCCAACATTAGCTTTTTACTTCAGAAATCATAAAGTGGTGTTAATATGTAGAGATTATCCTGCTGAACAAAATGTGTCCAATGAAATCCAATCCAATTGAAAAATCCCATTGAACCAGGGAGATGCTGCCTTCAGGGTCGGCTTATAGAAATACGTCATCACTGCACCACTCTACAGGAGCCAAAAACATATGTTTGTTCCTAAGTGGGAGTCACAAGCTCATACATAAGCTGCATCTTAGGCCTCCTTCACACGGGAACGTTTGCGTTTATGCACAGTATGCGTATTCAAAAAAGTCTTCCGTTCACATGCATTTGTTTCATTTAACGTGTCTGTTCAAACGAGGCCGCTGGAAACGCTGTAGTACATATGCCGGGACTGTAAGTGGCGCTGTAACTTCCGCCAAAATACACCAAAAGCAGCGAAGAAGAGCAGCCCGGAGCAGCCCCGCAGCAATGTTGCCATGGCTACCCTTCTGTTTATGCCCCGCGGTGTATTTAGCAACATGTAGTTCATGTAATTCTCCATGTCCACTTGTTGCTGATGGTTGTGGTAGAGGAGCTGTAGATTTTGCACTAATATCTGTAGCATGGTCAGTAGCAGTAGCACTAGCAGTAGCTACTGACAGGAGGAAGTGTGTGTGGCGATTGCTGGTATTCAGCGGGATATAGTAATTTCCTCAGCATATGGATAAATGCAACGGGGAAGTTAACTGAAAGAAACCGAATCTGTGGATATTGCATCGACCGACCAAGAAGCACGTCTCCGTGTAGAGGACGCGCTCAGAAAGAGAGATATTCTCTACAAACACCGGGTGAGATCGCTCTTCTGGGACACGCCGGTCCTCTGCCTACAAACATTTCTATTTTTGCCGCCGACGGGCGCAGGAGCAATGAACAATAATGGCCTGGATTAGGCAGTAAAGCCAAGTTTGGTGTATCGCAGAGCGGACTGTTTAATTTTGTTTGTGTTGTTTGGCTGGAAAATTGTCAATATAATGGATCAATGCATGAAATCTGACACTGTTTATTTTGTTTAAGGAGTATATTGGGCGTTAACAATTCTGGTTTGCCTTTTATAATATTATTTCATTCAAGAACCCCTTGTGCGTTTAATTAACACAGCTATTTTTGATAGTTGCTACAGCAGTGAGCAGGAGAGGTGGGGAGAGGCGGGGCTATCGTTATTTTTTCAGGAAATATTCGTATAGAGGTGATTACACGGACTCGGTTGACCCCCCAGAGCGTTTCGTTTGCAAATCTATCCACCTTGGGACCCGTTATCGTTTGTGGGGTCAGTTTCTATCGGCCTCGTGTAAATAATAGGGCTGCACGCGAAACTATGCAGATACAAGCAGTTTTCTCCTCGTGTAAACGGCGCCTTAAACAGTGATCTGAATTTCCATAAGTAACACATCAGTATTCACACGACTGCACACGACTCCAGGGACTGACACCAAGGATGTGATGACACAGTTTGTTTTCTTTGGTACAAACCACCTGGGATATGTCTGCTTTCATTTTCTATTTGCCTTGTTGAAGATCACACTGAATAATTTACAGGTGACATGTGAAGCACAGTTTGAGTAACATGATGCAGACAAGTAAAAAGCACACCTGTGTTGTATTTACTTAAGCAATTACACAAGGTGAGCCATGATGTTTTAATCCCAAAGTACTGTAAAGGGCTTCTCGTTAGGGTAATCCAAATGGTCCAAATCCAAATAGCTGGTTGTGATTTCAGGCTATGAAAAAACAGTTTGGTCTCATTAAAAAATGACATATCCATTCAACAAAACTGTCAAGCTGAATTTCCAAAAATGTCTCCAAGATTTCAATTGACTTTCTAGCATCTGGCTAACATTAGACTCCCATTTCTGAAACACATCCCAATTACTTTATATTGGAGTGGGGCAGAGACTCATTTTCAGTCTCTTCACTGCAGATAAATAGTCGCCAATCAAGGTTAATTGAAGATATACAAGTGTGCCAAAATGAGCTCATATAAAAAGCTCCAAATAAAGTGTTTGAATGAGTTTAGCCTTGAGAAGAAGCTCTAGCCTGCCCTCTATGAATGAATCTGATTAGGAGCAAGTAAGTGACAGAAAAAGGGAACTTAACTATAGTTTTTTGGGAGGAATTCACAGGTTTCCCTTACATGTCCATATTCATGTTTATATAGTTTATTGTTTTGCAGATGATACACAGCACAGGAAGAGGCAGACTTGTTTGAAGCCTGCACCTAAATACGTTTTAAATTCACAGTTTTATAGAAAAAAACAAGCTCACAATTAAAATGAATTCAATATTGATGTCAACTTATTCCGACATGTAAAAGGAAAAGGATCTCGTCATCTTGCCCTGATGTAAACCGTCTGATTAAAGAAGGTCAAGTGTCACAACTAATTAGAGTAATACAAACTTCACTGTAATTAAGACCTCTTTAAAAATGTCAATCTTCCACTCAGAGATAATTAATGTGTCCTAATTTCCCGTAGAAATAAAGAGATTTTATTTTCAGTTTGCTGTTGTTATACAAGAAATCAACACGGATCAGTTTAGTATTCACTAGTTGTACGAGAAGATGTCAGATACAGCTTCTTTTGAGTTTTTTTACAGGTATAAAATTGAGCATTTACCAAAGGAAATGAAAATGCCATCATCATCTTGGACAATTTTAAAATCTGTGAGTCATTTCTCAAACCATACAAGTCTGAATAGCTTTATTTGAAGGAATTAAATGAACCTCAATTTTTCCAGCGGTGCAGACTGTGTGCAAACAAAGAGTTTACACAGCAATACTGAAATGAATAGTTTTTATTCCACGGCTTTGTTGAATATTCAATTCTGATTGGTCAATTTGGACATCTCAGAGGTTGTTAATACTCACTAACAGACGAGACGTTGCTAAGGATAACATGACCGTTGCTAAGGAGGATCAAGGGACTATGTGCAGTCATAAGAGGTCCGACATTTAACATCAGCTGTGTACAACAAACTATAGATTTTCAGATACAGAAATATCCTGTATCAGAAAACATCATGGAATAATTATTTTTATGTTTGTGGAGAGCATAAAAAAATGTTGATTCATGATGGCTGAACTTTCCCCAGTAAATAAAATAAAAAGGGAACAAGAGAAGGAGAGACAGACAGCTGGACATCAGTGAAATCAACAGAAGAAGACAGGAAGTAAACACTAAAGGGAACAGCTGAAGAAGACAGACAGGAAGGCCCAATTCCAAACCACACCCTACCCACTCCCCCTCCGTGATGGAGTGAACTCCGTCTGTAGTCTCACTCGCAGCTTAACGAGGCTCCCTTCTTTCAGGTGGAGGGTGTAAATACAGCGGCAAGATTTGGGACGAACTCCGCTCTCTCCGGCATAAACAGGAAATGCCATATTTTTTCGTAACAACAGTTTCAAATCTTGGATTAAAAATAACAAAATAAAACCCTTAAGTTTTTTATGGCATATATTTTTTGTAAACATATTTTTGTTTTAAAATCTGATATTTATAAGCTGCTTAGTTTTTGCAAGAGTCCGTGTAAATATACACAACTTTTCCAGACTAGACATGAGTAAATTATCCTAAATTTAAACAAATACGAGGAAACCATGAAGTTGTTAACATCTGTATGAAGATATTAAATGTCTCTAGTTGTGCAGTGTATCAATGAATGTTTCCACGGATCTATTTATAAAAAGCTTGTTTCCTGACGGACACACACAGCGTTGGTCAGGTAGTGCAGCACGTGAAGTCAGGACCGATGCAGACTTGCTGTTTGAGGGCTTGATAACCCACTCCCCCTCCACACTCGTTGGTTTGGAACAGCACTTAATGTGGCGGACCCTCCGCGAGAATGCGCAAACGGAGGGGTAGTGTGTAGGGGTAGGGTGTAGGGGGCGGTTTGGAATTGGGCCTAAGTTAATACCAGAGGGAACAGCAGAAGAAGACAGACAGGAAGTAAACACTAAAGGGAACAACAGAAGAAGACAGACAGGAAGTGAACACTAAAGGGAACAACCGAAGAAGACAGACAGGAAGTAAACACTAAAGGGAACAACAGAAGACAGACAGGAAGTAAACACTAACAGGAATACGGAATTGGCTCTGTCAGTGTTTA